TTCGAACTGGTCAAGAAGCTCCTGCAGAGCTCGGCCATGATGACACACCCGCGTGAGCAGGCAACCTACTGCTTGTTTACAGATGCTAGTGACTACGGTTGGGCTTCGGTCCTTACTCAAGTGGGTGAATGGAAACAAGGAGTGGCAATTACTGAACAGGAACATGAGCTACTGGTATGCAAGAGCGGTTCGTTCACTGGCGCTCAGCTCCACTGGAGCGTCATTGAGAAAGAGGCACTACCAATCGTGCTCTCCTGTGAAGACCTTGACTACCTGTTGCTGAGGCCCGGTGGTTTCAAGGTGTTTTGTGACCACCGAAACCTCATCCATGTTTTTGCCCCTGGACAAGAAGTAAAGAAGCACGTACGTGGAAAATTACTTCGATGGGCTGTCAAACTCATGGAGTTTCGGTATACTATCGTTCACATCGAGGGTGTCAACAACTTGTGGGCGGATATGCTTAGTCGGTGGGGCGGCGCTGCTACCCCTACGGCATCTACGACTACGAAGCCTAGCTTGAAGCGAGTGACTCGTTCACAGACAAATGTTTCTCGGAAGCCTCTGCTTCGGCCTCTCGACCAAGAGAACTTCACGTGGCCGACGTTGAGTGAAATCGCGGCTACGCAAGCGGCTCATGTAGCCTCTGCTCCTACTGCTAGTGCTGCAGATGGACATGGTGTCTACCGATTTGATGGCTGTATTTGGATACCTACTGCTGCCACGGCTCTCATCCAGCGACTCCTGATCATCGCTCATTGTGGGGCACAGGGTCACCGTGGTGAAGCCGTGGTCTTGAACCACATTCGCCGTGTATTTTCGATTGAGGGAATCTCTGCTCTAGTTCGTCGTTTCCTGCGTTCCTGCTTGCTCTGTCAGCATGTAAAAGGAGGTAGGGTGGTGCCTAGACCATGGGGTGAACTGTACCGCTCTGACATTCGCAATGGAGCTTTACACTGGGATTTCCTTTATTTGGGTGATGGATTTGGCTCATGCAAGTACCTACTACTGCTGAAGGACAACTTTACCCATTTCTGCGAGTTGATTGCGTGTGATACACCAACAAGTGAGGTTGCAGTTGATGGCCTGCTTGGGTGGCACAGTCGGTTCGGTGTACCGCCTGTATGGGTCAGTGACAGTGGCTCGCATTTCAAGAACCAAGTTCTTGCCGAATTATGCAAGCGACTGAAATGTGAACAGCAGTTCGTAGTGGCGTATAGTCCGTGGATCAATGGATCTCTGGAACGTGCAAACAGAGATATACTGCAAGTGCTACGTGCAATGATTATGGAGTACAAGATTTCGCACAACGACTGGATCTATCTTATACCTTTGGTGCAATCTAACATGAATCACTCTCCGGTGGTTTCTCTAGCTAACAAGGCCCCTGTTGAGGTATTCACTGGCTTGCCATGCCCAGCACCAGCCTACATCCTGCATGTACCTGAAGAGCAACCTAAGGCAGTCTATATTTCGAGTGCAGTCATCGAGAATTCTATGGCGAAACTACGGTCCAGTATTGAGGCCATGCACTGTGCCGTCAAGGACAAGCGTGAGAAGATCACGTTGCTGAACAAGAGAAAATCCAGAGGTGCACAAGAAGTAAACTTTTCTGCGGGTGATTACGTCCTACGATCACGTGTCGATGAGCGACGACACAACAAGTTGCTAGTCACCTGGCTCGGTCCCTACGTAGTTACCCGTGCGGACTCTCATTCGTTTCGTGTTCGGCACCTCGTTACCGGCAAGGAGCAAGATGTGCATGCTTCACGCTTGAAGTTCTACGCGGACAGCGACCTGGAAGTTACGGAGGAGCTACTGGAGCACGTCGCCTCCCAGGGCATTGTGTTGAAGGTTGACCGACTTAACAAGCACCGTTGGAACGAACAGAACCAGGCTTTTGAGCTCCTAGTGAGCTGGTGCGGCTTAGAGCCCATAGAGGACTCATGGGAGCCTTTGAAGTCTCTAGCACAGGATATCCCCGTGCTAATACGTACCTACGTGGAAGCTGCCGAGGATGCCAAGTTGGCGACAGCTTTACAGAAGCTGACCTCGAGCTAGAGATCTTCATGTGCCAAGTTGGCAGTCACAGTGTGAGCAAAGTCATTACTATTTCGGCAGTTGCCTTGAAGTAGTGAGACGTACAAGGTCAGTGGCTTGTGTATCCATGACTCAACCTGTGTGGTTGTAGGCATGAGGAAAAATGAAATTTGGATTATGGTACAGTGTCCCAAAATAGTGGTACAGTGTACCAAACTGACGTTGCAATATAGTAGCTTGAAAATACCCATATTGCCTGTTTGCAAGTTGTGAGCAAGGCTTGGGAGGGAATCGTAGCGTGGGGCTCAGGTTGAAAGCCTTGCCCTCATTGCACTTTGGAGTGAATGCAAGTTGCATTTACTACCAGCTGGCAGTCCTTGCAGTTGCAGTTGCAACTACTAGGCTCGAGCCTCTGGCAGTGCCAGGAGGCTGTCCTGCTCGCTGTAGCGATAACAGGATTTGGAAACAGAGTAGTCTAGTCACTTTACCTTTTGCTTTCTACTCAGTAAGCAATACAATCGGCTAAACGCTCGGAAGTGCCAGCTTCCCTAACTGTGTCTACTGTTTTCGTCTCGTGGACGTACTACATGATCTATCTCGGGTTGATAGCAACAGCAGCTATTCTCGGGCACAGCCCTGCCACCATTGTCCACCACTGCCACCGAGGCCACACAGTCGGCGATGAGGGTTTTGGCTTCTGCTCCAAGAGGACAGCAAAACCAAGACCTCAGTCTGCGGTACTTGAGGGCCCGTCCCACGGAAGATGGCAATGCTGGGGATGGCGACAACCAAGAAGAGAGAGGATTTAAGGAGTTAGGGGACTGGGTGAAGTACAAAGCGGGCAAAATGAATCCTAAAGAACTGTACAAGTACTTGGGATTAGAGGGACATGGCCAAGAAGCTTACAAGAAGGAAAAGGAAATGAAGAAGTTTCTCAAGAAGGCGGCAATATGGCGGGACAAACACTAACAATCTCGCAGTTCATGCGTTAAGTGGTGAGCGAAATCGAAACGAGGAAATGAGAGGCAATGAGAGGAGCAGTAAGCCAGTTGTTCAAAAATGAGCAAATTGTTTGATTACTTCGACCTTGCTATTCTGTCCATTTTCAGTTTGATCTTATAACGAAAAATACTCAGGGTCAAGATCTTACTAATACTATCTATCCCATCTCTTGAAAGCGCAAACTGCATAAATCAGTAATAAGTACCGAGATTTGGATCTTAGATTCTTGTTTTTATTACTGACAGAAAAACTCAGTAGCTTGGCAGAAATGCATATCATCCAAATATTATTTGGAGAGTAGTATTTTGGCAAAACAGCTAGGAATGATAAAAATTTCGAGTATTCAATATATCCTTGCGCACAAATCCTAACCTTAAAATTTGTTGGTTCTCCTGCCTCGAAGCCTCCCTCGAGCATTTCCCTGGCCTTCGATCCAGAACGCATTTGTACATTAATTATATAGATCGATGTTCGAATGAAAACATAGTACAGCTTACGCTATTATAAAATTGATTGTGCTTCTTATTACTCGTACATTGTTTTTGTTTGCCAGCCAACTTTATATAAAAGAAGCATAATCGCCTGTTTTAACAGCAATTATTTTATGATGGACACTTCACATTCTACATACTTCAAATACATAAAATCCGGTAGAGCTTTGCAAACCAAAGGGAGTAAATGCATTGCACAGATGATGCGCCGAAATTGATCTAGGCGGTTCACAATCTTTGAAAAGTGAGAGCTCACACTAATATTATTAGCGGTAAGTCGGCAGCAAACCCAATCGCTGCATCTACACATGCATTGTGCGACTGGGTCACACAGCACCCTGAGCTAAAGGAAGTTAGCTTCCGAGAGTATACAAACTCTCAGTAAACGGCAGTTCACAGGCCAAAAGAGAGCGAAGTGACCTAATTAAGGTCGAATGTAAACTGAGTATATTTCTAGGTAGATTAAGCTTGGGTTTAGTACAAACTATAAGTCACCTATAGAGATGCAACGTCGTCAACCAATGGTTGGCTTTGAACGACCTTGGTACTTTGTACCAAATATCCCGAAGTATGAGGGTAAACTTAGGGCTACGTACACCGTTACATCCTCCCCCACTTAGGTTCGGTTTCACGACCAATTAGA